CTTCCATCTAAGTTTTCCAGTTGAAATGTGCTGGGGCTGAGAGCTTGCTTGATCCGGTAGGGGCCCAGCTTCCCTAATCCAGGTTCGGGAACCATGACCTTCTTGAGGACAAGGTCTCCCTCTCTGTAGTGTCTTTCTTTCACTCTGCAGTGGTAGTAGCAGGCCATTCGCTGCTGATAGGTAGTCATCCTTATTTGTGCTTGCTCTCGGGCTTCTTCCAGCAGGTCTAAGTTTGCTCTAAGCGCTTCGTCGTTCTCATCCTTGGTATACCCTTGGACCCAAAGCGTTGGTTGGCCAATTTCCACTAGGATCACTACTTCTGTGTCGTAGGTCAGACCGARGGAGGTTTCTCCCATCGTTGTCTGAGGTGTGGTTCAATATGCCCATAGGACGCTGTGTAGTTCATCGGCCCATAGGCCTTTAGCTCTATCTAGCCTGGTCTTTAGCCCGTCTAGGATGGTTCTATTTGTGACCTCGGCTAGGCCGTTCGTCTAGGGGTACCCCACTGAGGTGTACTGTTGCCTGATGCCGAGGGAGGTGCACCATTCTCAGAATTTAGCATTGTCGAACTGCCTTCCATTGTCCGTGACCAGCATGTGGGGGAGGCTGAAGCGACAAATGATGTTCTTCCAAAAGAAGCTCTGAATTGCCCGCGCAGTGATAGTGGCCAGGGGTTCAGCTTCCACCCATTTAGTGAAGTAATCCACAGCAACGACGAGTTACTTCCTGCCTTTCGTAGCCTGAGGGAAGGGGCCGAGGAGGTCCATCCCCCACTTGGAAAAGGGCCAGGGGTTGCTGAGGGCCAAGAGAGTGGTCGCTGGTTGATGGCGGAGGTTGGCATGTCTCTGACACTGATCACGTTTCCACACTAGCTCGGCCACATCCTTGTGAAGTGTTGGCCAAAAGTACCCTTGCCTTAAAGTTTTTTGGGCTAGGGTCCGGCCATCGAGGTGATTACCGCAGATGCCTTCATAAATTTCCTGAACCAGGTTCTCGCCCTCCTCCCTACGGAGACATCAGAGGTAAGGCATGGTGAAGGACCTCCTATACAACTTTCCTTCTAGCAAAGTGTAGTGCACTGCCTGTCGTCGAAGTTTCCGGGCTTCGTTCCTGTCATCGGGTAGCCTTTCTTTCAGTAGGAAGTTGATGATAGGATCCATCCAAGATGGTTCGGCTTCCACGGGTAGGATTTGGATCCCTTCTATGGAGGGTCGGGCTAGTTTTTCCATGCACACAATGCGGCCAAGGGCCACATCCGAGGTGCTCGCCAATTTGGAGAGAGCATCGGCTCGGGAGTTCTTGGCTCGCGGGACTTGTTGCAAAGAGAAGCGTTGGAAGTGGCAGGCTAACTCTTGAACTTTGGCGAGCTACTTAGCCATGCTTTGTTCTCTGGCCTCGTACTCACCGTTGACTTGGTTCACCACCGCTGCGCGTCGTTGAGGACTTCGACGTGCTTGGAACCGAGGTCTCGGGAGACCTGCAACCCCGCCAAGAGGGCTTCTACTCGGCTTCGTTGTTGGATGCAGGGAACTCGAATCTCAGCACATATTCTATGATGGCATTGTCAGGGGTGAGGAGAATGAGGCCCGCTCCACTCCCTTTGGCGTTGCATGGACCATCAACAAAAAGTTTCCACAAGGCAAGACCCCCTCAGCCGTTTGTGCTTCTATTGGCTCATCTTCGCGAGGCCGGCCGAGAGGCCTACTAAAAGTGCTTTCTTCTACAAAGTCAGCCAAGGCTTGCACTTTGATCGCGGGCCTCGGCTGGTACTATATGTCAAACTCCAACATTTCTATTGCCCACTTAACCAGGCGTCTCGAAGTCTCTGGCTTGGCGAGGACAACCCTAAGGGGCTGATTTGTTAGGACCACTATGGAGTGGGCTTGGAAATACGACTTGAGCTTTCTGGCCGAGGTGACAAGGGCATAAGCTAGTTTTTCCACTTTGTGGTACCATGTCTCAACACCACTGAGGAATTTGCTGACAACGGTTCGGCCAGCGGATTACCGAATCCGCTGGCCAAGGGCCGGTGGCTCGACGTTCTCGTGTTGGCCCTGATCCTCTGACACCCCAACAGGGCGGTCGCCTCGAGAGGGACCTCCTACTTGAGGGAAAATTTCTTTCATTCATTGGGTGAAGCGGTGCAAACGATCGAGGATGGCCTGAAATTGCTCATAGGTGACCAGGTTCTAATTGTTCCTGGTTCTCCTCACCATGGCTTTCGAGCTTAAGGGGGTTTGTATTTAGAGTATTATTATTTTTTATCCTAAAGTGGGGGTCGTCTTAGCAACTGTTTCCCACAGACGACGCCAATTGTTGCCGCGCGGATTGGCCGAGGGCAACAAGGTAAATTCACTCTTCAGGTTCTGAGTGTTGGCCAAGGACCCCGAGGCCTCAGAAAAGGTGGGTTGAAGCCGAGGACCGCAAGCCGATGTGAGGTATTCCTTCCAATGACTATGGTAGCCGAGGACTGCAAGTCGAGCGAGGTCCCTGGTGACCAGAGTTACTACAAGACAGGGACTGTCAGAGGCTCCAACGCTCAAATTAGTACGAGGTGTAAAGTAGGAGAGGGTGTAGGAGAGGCCTTGGAGGTAGTCCTCAAATGCACCAAATCTCCCTGAATTAATTCTAAGAAGACAAGGTAGGTGCAGGGAGTAAATGAGTGAATGGTGTTGGAGTTTTCTGTTTTGGATCTCCTTTAAGGGGCAATTACCTCTTATTTATACTTGAGAGTGCTGGGGGTAGGTGAAGATTAATGCCCCGGATGAGATCCATACGAGGTCAGACTGCAAGCCCTGGTGGGTACGTCTGACAGTCATGTGGTTGGCTCCGTACAGAAGCAATACGACTCCCTCCTATTGTGGCTGATGTTACCAAGCGCCAGTGGGCTGGGCCTCCCAGCCTACGGTGGGCTGGGGTAAGCTAACCCACATCAGGATCCATCCAAACAGAGAATGTAACACTGTTTCTTGTAGTGAGAGGAAAGGTCCTCCCGTGTGGGTAGTATTCTGATGATTATGGGCAAAGAGGTTAAGTGTAAGAGATCATATTACCTGATTGAATTTATTTCACATAAATCCATTATTCTTGGGTCTTCATAGGGTGATTGAATCCAATGATCATTTAGGTGTAAATGTTGGGCGTACACTGAAGTCATGCTAATTAGCTCAAGATTCACTGCCCTGAGTAGTGAATTCAGCCTAACCTCTTTTAAAGGTGAGGTCGAACCCTCATGATGGTTCCACGCCATACAATATTAGAACCAAATTGGTCATGCAACACTTAGGGACATGGGCCCATTACTAATGAGATAGTTAGGCTTAAGTTGTCATGTGATTTGGGTTGAAACTGGGCATGGTTCTAAATATGGAGCATTTATCTTCTCAAGAGGATAATGCTTATCTATTAAACAAGTATAGATCCAAATTAGATTTGGAGAGTGCTCCATAAAAAGGGGTTAAGAGGAAGAGGGCGAATGCAATTTGTACTCCTTTCTTACTCTTTCCTCTTCTCCCTTCCCTCATAGAAACCCTAGTTTGACCTAAGAAATAATTGATTTTTATCAATTTTCTCACTGTGTTTTTGCAAGAAAAATGTTTGGAAAATCAGGCTAACAAATCTCAATCGATCCAAGACAATTGGGTGGCAATTTTGCAAAAAATAGTGTTACTATTTTCAATTGGAGTCTGTTTTTGGGATTGATTTTGGGCATGAACCATTGCTTTGAGAGCTATGATTTATGGACTCCATATCAAATACAATTAGTTTTAATTTTGTTTTCAAATTTGGTCCAATTCAGTTTAAAAATGATCTAGAAATTTCAAATTTCAAAATCTTCAAAAATCCAGCTCCTAGGAAGTTGGAAAATTTTTAAATTTCAACCAACGACTAAACCTGATTCGACTATCCATATTCTGGATTTTAACTCATCCAACACCAAATGCACATAATATCACATGTTAATGGAAGGGTAATATTTGTCCAACGATCACGTGACATGAGAGTAAAAAGTCGCCTATTCAACATAAACGGATACTTGCCCTGGGTTGTGTTGAAATTTATTTGACCAGCATACATTGCAATGCCCAAGTTCACTGGTTTAATATACCCATAAAAGAAAAAAAAAAGGTCACGGGTTTAATGGCTGAAAAGCTTATAATTAAGGATGGAAATCGTACAAACTACAAAGCATGTCAGTATCAAAGCAGATGTGTCAATTGGAACACCCTAATCGCAACGGATGTTTATCATGATTCTTATGGTTAGCTTGGTAGTCATGTTTCTCTTACATTTCTTGAAACGAATTTAAAATGATAAGCCTAAGACCATTTTGGGGATAACAATAAATCTACTTGTGTTTATTCTTAATTAGGTATATAATAATTTTTTTACTATAGATCAGAGTTTCCCATGTGCCTAGTTCTTGTTGATGAGTAAAAGAAAACCAATGAATAAACTAATAGTAAAAGCAACTAATGTTCCAAAATGTTTACAAGCCATAAATGAGAAAACCGCTGAAAACATCCTGCACAAACTGAAGAGAATTCATATATTTGATGAAAAAGATTTTGACAGATCCTTGGAAAAAAAAAGTGACAAATTTAAGTTTCCATAGAACTCCCATAAACATGCTACCTCTGTCTATTAAAAGGTTGCAATTGCCTTGTAAGATTATAACAAGCAAGCTAACCGTCATTTGCCTAAACTTTCTTAGACTGCATTTGGCATTCCTGACTTATCTCCTTTTTGCAGTTAAAAACTCAGAGTTCATTGCGGCAATTTAACAGCAAAAATGGGGACAAGTCCTTAAAATAAGGAATACCAAATGCAGCATTAGAAAACAACTGGAAAAATACAGGATGGCTAAATAAGTACATAAATATTCTTCAGTTTTTTAATCATCCCACCTTTCCAAGACCAATTTACTCAGGAACCAAATGGACCATTGAGATAACATAGTTATATGCCAAGGAGACAAGTTAGCACTGTAAAACACAGCATGCCAAGACAAATCCCACGTAATCCCATATTTTTGCACAAAACCCTCCAGGTTTTACATTTTGCAATAACTCTCAATATTGGCCTGTAAGGTAATAACAAACACAAACCAATTATGTGGTATGCAATACACTTTTAAATTCACCCTTCGATCTAAACCTGTAGATCTCTATATTCTTTATACGATAGGTAAACAATTAGCAACCAAATCATCCCTATAATGACAACAATTGGACTTTATCAACTTCAACTTAGAAATAAATTAGTTTTGAAAACAACCAGCGGCTTCATGAAACTGCGTTCTCATGTAACCTCAGGGTTACACCCTTCCCAGTTTACCTGATACATGACAAATGAAAAGAATCCAACTTACCAGGGATTAAATTTAGAATCTCCATTGAATAAAAGGCGACAAGAAATAAACGAGTATTTATATCTAACCCAGAGACGGTTACAGTAGACACCCAAGTTTGGTAGTTTCCATGATCTTTCACCCTGCATATACATGGCAGATATTAAAAATTCAAACTGAAATTTTTACATCGAATAAGTAATATGATTTGGAAAATCACATTATATTGAAGTAATATGAAATTTTTACATCGAAGAAGAACTAGCAAGGATCTTGAATGGAGAACTAAAGAAGTAATATGATTTGGAAAGATACAAGTGAAACTGATAAAATTACAATAGCCTGAATTCACTAAGAATTGGCCATTTACAACAGACATTGCAGTGTGCCACTGAGATTGACTAGGTAATCATTGAAGACTCAAGTGTATAATGGAAAGTCTAAAAGGGCACATGACATGACAAAATTAGAAAATATCTGTTTTTTTTTTGAGTGGTAACTTTTAACTTTAACTAGATGTATTAAAATTTGGTATTAACATAAACATAATAGGCTTTTAGGAAAGCTTATTATGCTTTAACAGAACATATGCTACTAGGAAGTTTGGATAGTGGAACAGCACTTGTGAAGATAATCAACATAGAAACAAAATGAAAATAACCCATAAAGGAAGCAACTAAAGGCAAAATTTTATTGAGACAATATAACTATTGGATTGGCAATAAAATCTCTACATTGCAATTTTTAGTATTAGGCTTCTGTACATGGAGATATCATCAATCAAGTATTTGCAAAATTTTACTATTATTTTCTTTTTCTATTTTCCAGGATTCTCCAAAAATACGAACTTAACCTAGAGAATCTTACGAAAGCTAAATATGATGGGTAATAAATGCAAGTGTTTACCTTTCCTCAGAACAATGGGAATATCAAGATTAGGAAACTCGACACGGCAAGTATCTAGATCTGTTGTCCTTGAGGTTAACTGGTTGTATAACAGGCTCTCTAACAGGAGTGGAAACAACCTTCTTAAGATTTTGATAAACTTGTAAAACCATCTGGGGAGTTGATCTTGACTGATAGCTGGAAGAACAGGGGATTATCAACAGCAACACATGGAACATGAATAGGAACTAGAATCAGAGAAGGATCAAAGACGCTATTGTCCTCTCCCTCACCATAAATATGGTATCCATAGACACAAGCTTGCGCTCAACAAACCAAGTCATTTTATCCCTTTAACCAATATCTACCATATCTGTAAAGTCAACAAGCCAAGTGCAGAAGATATGAAAAAGTGTTCATAGAGCCAGTGGGGAATCTCCATGATTCATTAAGATGGTTAGAGGCTTGTCTAGTAGGGTGATTCATCAACTCTGAACCTGAAGTGATGGAGGTTCTGAGTTGGGTGAGTTCTGAGTGGAAAACAAAGAAGAGAATACTAGTGAGAAACAAATGATGTAAACAAGAACATGAAAAGCATATGCGAGGTTCAAGTCAAGGGAGGAAAATGACTTGGACAAGGTTGTTTCTAGTGAAGAGTTGAGTAGACAGGGAAAAGAGAAAGTAAATCAATCGGTGGAAGTTGCAAGAAAACCCCAATTTTTGGTCTGTTTCGTTTGGGGTCTGAACATTGCAATTGAAAATGCCTTGGACAAGGTTGTTTCTAGTGAAGAGTTGAGTAGATGGGGAAAAGAGAAAGTAAATCAATCGGTAGAAGTTGCAGGAAAGGCCCATTTGTTGGAGTTCTGTTTCGTTTGGGGTCTGAACATTCAAATTGATAATCCTAGAGAGGGGCTTGAAGAGGACTCATCAGGTTTTGAGGAGTAGGTCAAGGTGGAGAAAGTGGAGACTAATGTCGTGGTTGAAGATGAGCAAGGTGAGTCATGGCTGAAAGTGGCAACATTAAGAATGGAACTATGAAGAAAAAGAGAATCAAGTTGACCTTCTAGATGTATATGCTGAAGAAGGCAATGTGAGGAGATGGTCAGAAGGGGCTTGGATAGGTTTTGGAGAAACTTATGTAAGAAGGGATRGGGAGCAAATTTACCTAAAGATGGAGGAGTTAGGGGGTGGAGGAAAGGAGAGCTTTTCTGAAAAAAACTGTTTAGTGGGAGGTAGGGATTCATGAGGTGGAGAACCGGGCATCAAAAGTTTGGATGGGAAATAACCACCTACTTTTCAATTGGTGGTTAGCAACCATAGGGTGCTTCTACCCAGAGACTAAGGAGGATCTAAGCATGTTTGGATCAAAGTTGTTGGCCTTCTGTTGCTTCTTTGGTGCTCAAGCATGATGAGGGCTATAGAAGATCTGTGCGGCAGCTCATTGATCTCCGTGGGAGCTTTATACCTGTGAATGGACCAAGTTAAAAGTTAAGGGGGACAGATATAATTCGGAGAAGGTAGAGATTGTATAAGGGAAGGTCACCTATTAAATTTGGCTTTGGTTGGAGAAAAAACCGTCAGTGAGAAGGTGGAGTGTGGGGAGAAAAGGTGAATGGGGTAGTGAGCACAGCTTCAGAATTGTTTCTTCCATCAAGAAACAATATCTAGATCAAATCTTGATCACTTTCAAGAGATGGAGATCGAACAGGGTAGGGCAGCAAGAGCACAGAGAGAAAATTGGAGGTAGAAACAGTCAAACTGTGTAACCCTTTTCAGGTCCGCCTTGCTCTTTACGTATAGCCCTTAAAGATATAATCTCTTAATCTGATTAGGAATTTCTTAATCCAAATCTCTATTTGGATCTGAACTCTTTAAGTGATAAGGATAATCTTATCTGCAGATCAAGATCAGCTACTCCTAATCATATTAGAAGTTCCCTGATCCAAATCTCTATTTGGACCTGGACTCTTTAAGTGGATAAGAATTATCCTCTTATCCTTATCTGTTGATCCATACCCAGATTTGCCCTTATTTAATTAATCCAATTAACCCAGTTCAAAATGGGCTTTAGGTCCATTAAGCTTTCAACCTCACTTCCTTTTAATGCTGGCAAGCTTGGCTCTCTTTGTATGGCGTGGGACCTTATCATTGATCTACACATCAGCCACATGGGTTCGGCCCAGCCTTAGTAACAAGGCCTGGCCGAATTCATTGTAGGACACTGTGAACCCCTGAGTCCATCACTATGGGCTCTTAATGGGCCCAACATTTACACTAAATGGTCCTTGGGTCCAGCCATCTTATGAAGGCCCAAGGACTGTGGGCAGATGCAAGATTAGCCCATCAGGTATAACCCTCAATGGTCTTACACTTAATCTCTCAGCCCTTAATGATCCAACATTGCCCGACAAGAGAGGACCTCTCCCTCGGCTACAAGGTATAGTGTTGCACTCTCTACTCACATGGACCCGAAGAATTAAAACATTTTGCAAACAATTTGTGAAAACATAATATATAAGTATATTTCTATATAAATATATTTTGCGAAACAAAATTTCAAACGCATTTGAAATCCACTGCCGGCAGTTTAGGTTTCCATCAGAGAGTGCATTTCCCGATCATTCACTTTGTTCAACAAAGGGGCCAATCCTGTCACTATGATCACCCACTCAAGTGAATTCTTGGACTGTCCCAACATACCCAGGTTTTGACCCCCTCTGAAGATCTCACTGATTGGCATATCAAATATAGCCCAATTCGACACCTAGTGCAGTACCATAATCGAGTCTAGGGGTCTGGTGTAACATTCCAGCTTTGCCCATCTATCTCCAAGGTCCAGGGCAACACTGGAATTTGGTCCGGTTCAGAGTTTCAAGAAAACCCACACTGCATGTACCTCAGGTCTCACCCTAGCAACTGAGACAAGCCACCCCAACCAACTTGGCGGCACATCAGTGTCAACCTTAGTAGGATAAATCTCCCTAGATCTATCTAATGGCTGTGAAGATTCTAAACTAACACAAGTCTCATTAGTGTCCAGTTTAAGGGTATTACACAGAAAGACACTACAATAACATGAATCAAGCTGATTGGAGCTAAGGGCATACACTGTTTAACAGTTGCTTCAAGTAGGCAAAACAAAATACTAGAGTTACAACTTACAAGTTAGAACTTAAAAGAAGGGGGCAGAGCCCCTGTTCTAGATCCAAAAAAGCTAGTGAAAAAATATTAAAATAAAAGAAGAAAAGAAATATGAAAAAGAAAAAAAAAGGGGGTGGGGGCCGAGCCCCTGTTTTGGATCAAGAAAATCTAGGGAACAAATACTAAAAAAGAGAGAAGAAAAGTAGGGGGCAAAGCCCCTGTTCTAGACCCATAAAAACTAGTGAAAAAATTACGAAAATAAGAGAATATGAAGAAGAAAAGAAGGGGCAAAGCTCCTGTTCCGCCCCTGTTTCAGACACCAATAATGAGAAAAAAGCTGGAAAGTGTAAGAAAATTTAAAAACAAAAGTAGGGGGCGGATCCCCTATTTCAGTCCAATAAAATGATTAAAAAAGCTTGGGGAAAAGATACAAAAAGAAAGGAAACAGAGAAGAATATGGAGAACTCACCTTGACTTAGGGGGCTGTGTGGGAACAATAGAGGAATCCCATTCCCCCCAAGAATGGGAATCAAAATCCAATTCCTCCAAACAAACAGTAGGAACAGGAAGGGGCCATTCCAGTGATTTAAAAGGCACGCCCCTAGGCACATAGGCGAGGCGCATTAGGTCCTAAGTGCAGCCCTTTCAAAAGGCGCACACCTAGGCACTGATGTACCTCAGCCCAGGTGTGCGGCTTTTGAAAATTTCACACCTCGCCCGCTCACCAAAACTTTGAGAACCCCCTATTTGCTAATGATGTCCATTCATTCATCCTCATAATATATCTTCTTAAAAAGCAATTATGGGTTTTACATGCTTGAAAATGGGTTTTACATGCTTGAAAATGTTTTATATGTTTGATTTTATTTTTAAATTTTCATTTAAATATGCTTTACATGTTATGCTTAAATATTTATTTTTAGAAAATAGGTTTTTTAAAACATTTATTTTCAAAATTAAGTTTATATTTTTTATTAATATTATGTTTAATATTTTTTTCATTTCTTTTGCAATTTTTTGAATTTTCTAACATTTTTTTTATTTTAAGCCTTTTTTTTTGTATTTTTGCACCTTGCTTCAAAAAGGTGCGTGGCTTGCCTTGCACCTTGTGCCTTGG